AGATACACGTACTTGGTGTTGTCAGAGGTGATACTTCCCAGCACTTGCTCAACGCGAGCATCGAGAGCTTCCATCGTTACTTAAACTGCGACTCTTGCCGATAGAAACTGTATCGAAATAGCATAGAAATATTTCTAGTTTTTGTTTCGTTCACTTTGCACGACGAATTCCATTTATCTATACTTCTACGGAAATCGCCGTGCGAATCTGCCACTTCGTATAGAATTCGGGGTGCAAATTGACCGGCGAATTCCACGAATGCAAAAATGCCAGATATACAAAAATCAAATGAAACTGTCAATAATGCAAAATGTAGTGGAATTCATCGTGCAGTTTGCACGAAGCATATTGTGCCGCACATTTGGTACACAGTGTGAAAGTAGAAACACTACCACTTCGAAGTAAATGTGTATTGTGTAAGCTTACCGCTACTCACCTACGTAATGGTAGCTAGTCTAGCTGGAGCTGTGCCTTGCATGCTCACGGGCGAGTGTTCTCCACGATAGTTGGTCAAGTCTATGCGCTCTTCCTTTACTCGACGTCGATGAGAACGGTAAACGATTCTTTACTTGCTCAAAAAGAAGGCCAGCCGAATCGAGAGAGCTGTGCGCTCGCAGGACCTCATCACTCGTCAGAAGTGCTTCAACGAAGCGCATCAGCCGCTGAAGCTCTGCAAGCCGGATCTTTTGTAGTCTTGAAGCCATATCGTGCTTTGATAGCTGCTTTAGTGGCGGTTGCCCAGCACACCATTGCTGCCACACAACGCGAACGGTTCTTGCGGGTAGCACAAACTCTCTTGGCACTTGATGAAAGCCCCCACCCCATGTGTAAAGCTCGGTGTGCATCGTTGCAGTAGCATTCACCGAGGACTCTGTCTGAGTGTGAAGGTACACTATCGCCGAGCGAACATTTCCAAAAGTCGACTTTCCGGTGACACCACGCTGCTCCATCGAGGTCAAGTAGCGCATACACCCCATAGTACTTAATACACTTAGATTGACAGGGCTTCGTAAAGGGACGATAGAGAACCACTGCGCGATACTCTCCCCATTAATTGCACCCAGCTCACGAAACGTACTAGTAAACAGGACTTGCCGTCGATCCGCCTCCGTATTCTCGTAGAGCCACTCTATGAAGCGAGATAAAGTTCGTAGATAGACGTACTTGGTGTTGTCAGAGGTGATACTTCCCAGCACTTGCTCAACGCGAGCATCGAGAGCTTCCATCGTTACTTAAACTGCGACTCTTGCCGATAGAAACTGTATCGAAATAGCATAGAAATATTTCTAGTTTTTGTTTCGTTCACTTTGCACGACGAATTCCATTTATCTATACTTCTACGGAAATCGCCGTGCGAATCTGCCACTTCGTATAGAATTCGGGGTGCAAATTGACCGGCGAATTCCACGAATGCAAAAATGCCAGATATACAAAAATCAAATGAAACTGTCAATAATGCAAAATGTAGTGGAATTCATCGTGCAGTTTGCACGAAGCATATTGTGCCGCACATTTGGTACACAGTGTGAAAGTAGAAACACTACCACTTCGAAGTAAATGTGTATTGTGTAAGCTTACCGCTACTCACCTACGTAATGGTAGCTAGTCTAGCTGGAGCTGTGCCTTGCATGCTCACGGGCGAGTGTTCTCCACGATAGTTGGTCAAGTCTATGCGCTCTTCCTTTACTCGACGTCGATGAGAACGGTAAACGATTCTTTACTTGCTCAAAAAGAAGGCCAGCCGAATCGAGAGAGCTGTGCGCTCGCAGGACCTCATCACTCGTCAGAAGTGCTTCAACGAAGCACATCAGCCGCTGAAGCTCTGCAAGCCGGATCTTTTGTAGTCTTGAAGCCATATCGTGCTTTGATAGCTGCTTTAGTGGCGGTTGCCCAGCACACCATTGCTGCCACACAACGCGAACGGTTCTTGCGGGTAGCACAAACTCTCTTGGCACTTGATGAAAGCCCCCACCCCATGTGTAAAGCTCGGTGTGCATCGTTGCAGTAGCATTCACCGAGGACTCTGTCTGAGTGTGAAGGTACACTATCGCCGAGCGAACATTTCCAAAAGTCGACTTTCCGGTGACACCACGCTGCTCCATCGAGGTCAAGTAGCGCATACACTCCATAGTACTTAATACACTTAGATTGACAGGGCTTCGTAAAGGGACGATAGAGAACCACTGCGCGATACTCTCCCCATTAATTGCACCCAGCTCACGAAACGTACTAGTAAACAGGACTTGCCGTCGATCCGCCTCCGTATTCTCGTAGAGCCACTCTATGAAGCGAGATAAAGTTCGTAGATAGACGTACTTGGTGTTGTCAGAGGTGATACTTCCCAGCACTTGCTCAACGCGAGCATCGAGAGCTTCCATCGTTACTTAAACTGCGACTCTTGCCGATAGAAACTGTATCGAAATAGCATAGAAATATTTCTAGTTTTTGTTTCGTTCACTTTGCACGACGAATTCCATTTATCTATACTTCTACGGAAATCGCCGTGCGAATCTGCCACTTCGTATAGAATTCGGGGTGCAAATTGACCGGCGAATTCCACGAATGCAAAAATGCCAGATATACAAAAATCAAATGAAACTGTCAATAATGCAAAATGTAGTGGAATTCATCGTGCAGTTTGCACGAAGCATATTGTGCCGCACATTTGGTACACAGTGTGAAAGTAGAAACACTACCACTTCGAAGTAAATGTGTATTGTGTAAGCTTACCGCTACTCACCTACGTAATGGTAGCTAGTCTAGCTGGAGCTGTGCCTTGCATGCTCACGGGCGAGTGTTCTCCACGATAGTTGGTCAAGTCTATGCGCTCTTCCTTTACTCGACGTCGATGAGAACGGTAA